AGCAGCATGCAGACAGGTATGCGACTCGGCATGGGGAAGGTTCAGCGCCGCAACATCCGAAAGTGTGGCGCGCGTTCCGTTCTGTAAGAAAACGCGCTCTGCGTTGGGCTCTTGGTGTTTTGGACTCCGTGGCACGCAAAGTGCACCTCGTCACACGCCTGCCACGAAGTAGTTAGAAATACCGAGACCAGAATCATAGTACCGCGTACCTAAGTTCCCGATCTCCGAGCGATGAACCTCACACTCCTTCACTCCTTCACCATGAGGCCACGCTCAAGATTTCCTCCGGCGGTAGGCGTGTTTAGCGATATTTTCGTTGCGGATACCAAATTTGTCAGGTCAAAAGTGTCTGGCCGGCACGTTGCTAGAGCACCTTACAGGCGCGGGTCAGACGATCACCCGTTACCCTTCAGCGACACTGTACACGCACTGATGACAAGGACGCTTCAATGTGGTTCGTGGGCGTCGCCTGTGAAGCAACGAGTTGCGACCCATACACTTTCCTGTAAATCACTTAACAGAACAAAAGGAACGGGTGAAATGTCGTCGTCGTTATCGTAATAAGTGGATGAGCGGGTGGGTAGTGAGTGAAATTAAGATGCTACATTGCGAAAGATAACATAGATAAATTAGCAAGGTGGGTAGCGTATATCACGCCTTTTATGCCTCCAGGAATGCCTCTAAAACTCCGCCTCACGATCACCATTCACGAGCCTTGGGGGGTCTGGGGACCTGGTAGTCCAAGACGACAGGACGTCCTTGAATGGTGATGGGACTGGACAAGCCGGCCTCGTATGCTGCCACAGCAGAGTCCAGCTCAAAGAACTCGACGTGGGCAAAGCCGCGGGGAGAGCCTTCCCGGCTGCGTCCTGTAAACAAGTCAATTAAAAAACTGTAGAAACATGAAACACAAATACACGTACCAATAGCCACACGCTTGACAGAGCCATACTCGGAAAAGATTTCGAATACATCCTGCTCAGACGCCTGGAAGGACAGGCTGCCCATGAAAAGCGTCGCCGACGGGGCTTTCTCGGACCGGGACCTCTGCTGAGCGCCACCACCAGACGTGGCAGACTGGTTCTTGGCCCAGTCTATGGCTGCAGTGCGTCCGCCGAAAATGAAAGGCTGGGCAAGGTGGTCGCGTATCACAGTCGCCGCCGCATCTTCCGACTCAAACTCGACCATGGCCCACCCACTTGGTCGCCCCGTCGCAGGGTCGGTGCCTAGAAAAAAAAGTAAGCGACGACCGACATGCATGCTAGACGCAAAACGCACCCTTGTGAACGTTGGTCATGACGCCAAAGTCCTGCAGCTCATGGCGAATGTCGTCCTCTGCCATATTGAAGGGCAGGTTGCCAAGGTATAGGACCTTGCGGGGCTGGGCGGTACTCGACTCGTCGCTCATCCAGCGGCGTGCAGCAATGGTGGGGAGTCTCTGCTGGAGCAAAGTGGGACGCGCTATGGACGCACGCGAAGACAGAGAGCGGGTGCTGCAGCGCGAGACTGCTGTGAGAGCGCGGGCATTGACGCGAACGAGATTGCTGAACATGGACATGGCGGTTCGGAGAGAGTATGGACGGAATGAAAAGTTTTGGCGGTTGGCCGTGTTTGGTCAGTATGCGATTATGTAAGTAAGGCCTAGAGCCGGCACACCCGGCCTTGCTGTTCAAAGTGAAGGCGGCACTGTTTAAAGTCGAATACTTCCCAATGATCTCGAGATAAACATCGTTAGACTAGCAAAATTACAACAAAGGTTGATACTACATTAAGTACATGCAAGATATAACGATACACTGATATAAACTAGACTCATAAATCAATTCTCCACCCCCACCCCACGCAATATACTAAAAATCTCCTCTTGCCGCTCACGAAACGCACGAAGTCGCGTCATTCCCAAACTCAGCGCACTAATACGGTTCGCAAACGACAACGTCTTTCCCTCCGGACTAGGACTCCTCGCACTGTCGTTACTGTTCCTCCTTCCCCTAGCCCCATACACCAGCAAATCCCGAATGCGCTCCATCGTCGGCTCAGGTAGAGCCTTGCCGTGTGTAAGTGCATTCACCGCCGCATCATCGTCGTCTTCGCGGATCGACTTGGCCGCGAGCGCAATGCTCCAAGTTCCCGCATGAAAGGTTGCAGTCCTCCCGGGCACTCGTCCAAGTCACTTCACGTCCCATTACACCCATGACCTGAACGTCACCGTTGTCGGCTGAAACGTTGGTAAGAGCGACGTCGAGAATGGCGACGGACACCGAAGCGAAATATGCGCGAGGGGGATCCGTTGCAAGGAGCGTGTGTAGCGCTGGAGTACGGGAAAGAGCATCCGCTAATGAAGCGTACAGGGTTTCTCGGATTATGGTAAGCGCGGGAGATTGAGGTGGTAATAAAGATGGTGACGGAGAAGGTGATGGAGTGTAGGAGGAAGACGATGTGACCGAGGTACGACGAGACGGCGACTGGGATGGATGAGACTGTGTAGACGAGGTGGAGCTGGTACGGGAGTGGGTAGGAAATGTCGTAGATGTAGGCGAAAGCGTATCCCCAAAATGCTGAGGTTCTTCCTGCTGCGGCGGCGGTGGACCGTCATAACTCGGCGGCGGAACAAAACTCGTCTTCCTCCCTCCCCCACTCTCATCAAGCGCAGCCTGCAAATCGCCGGCATACCGGTCTTGGAATGTCCGCCTCTGACTAATCTCAATTGCAACTGCCCGTAGATCTGCTGCGATCCCGCCGACAGCCTCCAGCGACTGCAACGGCGGCAGGCCGCATATCACGCGCGCCAAATCATGCTGGCTCTCCGGAGTAAGCGCCTGGATGCGGGGCACGGCAGCAGCCCAGATGGTGAGGAAATTTCGGAAAGCAGGAGGGCAGTTGGCTGGAGACAAGTCGATAGGGTCGGATGCCACGGACGCGGACTTTCCGTGTCGTCTGGGTAGGGGCACAGAAGGCGGACTGGTCGTACACCGCAAAGCAGCAAAGTATAGACAGAGTGCGGGACCTACAGATGTTTTGTTCAGCATAGTACGGAGTTGCAATATACTGACCTGTGACCATTAAATCACCTTCTGCGCTGCTCAACACGTCTGCATCGATGAGGCGCTCGACCTTGGCCTGTGTAAGGGAGCTCTTGAGATAACTGTGGAAAGCATCCTGGATAACCCGCTCGGATAGCTGAGATGACATGACGCGACAAAATCAAAAAGACGATCATGCATCATCAATCTTTTTGAAGCCTTGGTGGCGATGCGTGGCAGTGCAATGACGCAACACACCACCTGCGGCTCTTCAAGTCCGATTTCAAAGTCCCGCTGTAGGACGGAGGAGGTAGGGGAAAGGCTGTACCTGGAAGGCAATGCACACGTGAGAGGGAGCTCACCATTAACAAAAAACGAGTTCAGTATTTGCACACCGAGACCGAAAAGTTCGCGCATGCCCGATACTAACATTCATTCCTCATCATTACTATCTGTCGAGTTCTCGCATGATTGCGAGTCTGAGGAATCTGACTCTACATCCTTATCAGGTTCCTCCTTCCACTCCAACTTCTCCGCAACCTCCTTCAAAATCCCACTTTCAATCATCACAAACAGATACTCGCTGTGCGCAGCCTTTTTATCGCCCACAACATACCCAACCAGCGTATCCCAAAGAGCACTGTAGAACACGCCGCCATCAACACACTGTTCAAAAAGGTACACGCCCTTCCACTTGAGGAGCGCCTGCGAAAGCCTCGGCGGACGGTTGGGAAACCGCCTCACCTCCTCCTCCTTTATTAAACGCGTGTACACCTCCCGGTCGCGTGCTTTCCTGCGCGCCCGAACTCGCGTCTTTTCCTCAAGAGGATCGTCCCTAGGATGGTCGACCATGAAGAACGGCGGCTGTGCAAAGGAGCTCGTGCACATAGTCCGCGTGTCATCCCAGTCAATAACACAGCTGATACGCGGGTTGTCAGAATCCGCATCGACGATAAAGATGTTCTGGGAGTGAAAGTCGCCGTGCATAAGAGGGAACCCGTCGGCGTCTAGAGAGTCATCATAGAGTGATGGAATGAGAGAGCGCATCCACCATACGTGTGCGTACTTGAAGATGGCCCTGCGCGACCGATCTTTCTCCAAGATAGTCGACAGTCTTCGAGTCGGCGTAATCAATCCAGTAGGCCGTCCCGCTGCTATACGTCTTCCCATGCGCTGGCGCGGCTTGGATAACCCATTCCCCACGCGCACTGTCGCGAGTAGGGTCCCGATCTTGTCGAAGCGATGTGAGTACATCTCGACAATTATCCAACGACTTGACGCAGAATCACGTCACGTCGTTCATCACTTAAATCGTCCCAGATCTCAACAAGGGCTATCCCCTCCGCCTTGGTAGTCACAACATAAGGACGGGGTCGTAACAGATATACAGGGAGAGGGATTGTGCTTTGCTCATATGAAAGTATGCATCGTCGCAACAGTGTTGCGCACAGCGGTCTCCGGGTCTTTGACGTGCATCAAAGGAACGCGCACGACGACGTCCGGATGCCCCTCACGTGAGAAACCGACGAGATTGAAGCACCGGATTTGGTCTCTCCCCAGGAAGTAGATTTGCGTTCAAGGTGAGGAAACGCATTGTCGGATGACATCCCAGTTAGTGGCTGAGAGCGTCGCAACGTCTTCGGAGCACAGAGAGGATTCGCCCGACATGACGGCGCGGGCAAAGATGAGAGCCGCTGTGATCACCCGCTTTCGACTTGATCAATCATGGATGTGGGTACCAGAGCGGCTCCGAATCCAGTACGACGACATTTCATATCGTGGGTTCCTCGTGGAATCATTCATACTCTCTTGCCACCGTCGTAGCCTGTGATATTCAATGTACTTACTTGTTTGAGCTCATTAGTATCCTCTCCGATCCTCAACGCTCATATACCCACATTTGAGCCGCCCTCCTTATGAGTTAGACTGGAGAATTTATTGATTTAGCATGCAAAAGGAGGTCCCAGTGGAACTGCACTCTCTGACTGGGAGTCGAACCCAGCTTTCGCGCGTCATCCTGCGGCCTCGGTAATGACAGGCGCGTGTACTAACCGATATACTATCAAAGATGCTGATAGCGCACTGACTTGCAATCTGGTTCACGCTGACCCTGCGCAGTCGCATCATCTATCCTCTGTAATCATGGTGATTAGGGACGGTTCTTGAATGCGATAACACAAGCGGAAGGGCTAGTATGCGCCAACTTGTTGCCAGCGCTATGATCCCGGGCCCCGAGGAACTTCAATACAGGCAAGCCGCACGCGTAGAAGCCCATGATAAGAAGGAGGCGGACAAGAAGCAGTCGAAAAAGCAAGAGAAGAAGGAGCCCGAAACAAAACAAAAGAAGAAATACCCTTTTGTCGCGGGGGCTCATGATGAACTGATAGAGTAGTTTTGTAATCGTACCGATGTAGTTATAGTTCGTCATGATTTAGAAAGTGTGCATGTGAGTACATATGCTTGATAACGCACTACGTACCATCATTGGCGCGTCGCGAAACCCGAGCAGAGAACTTGGAGACTCGCTAACAATGGATCATTGAAGACAACGCCCCGAGACAACTTGAAGTGGATGAGTAGTCGGAGGCCTTGACACTAGGCAGCTTCAATGTCACTGGGAGACCTCGTCTCCGACTTCTTCTTCTCCAGCTCCTCCGCAACCGACTTCAGAATCCCACTTTCAATCATCACAAACAGATACTCCATCTGCGCATCCTTCTTATCGCCCACAACGTGCTCAACCAGCGAATCCCAAAGGGCGGTGTAGAACACGCCGCAGTCAATACACTGCTCGAAAAGGTACACGCCCTCCCACTTCAGGAGCGCCTGTGAAAGCCTCGGCGGACAATTCGGAAACCGCTTCGCCTCCTCCTCCCCCACTAAACGCGTGTACACCTCCCGGTCGCGTGCATTCCTGCGCGCCCTCACTTGCGTCTTTTCCTCATCAGGATCGTCCCTAGGATGGTTGACCATGAAGAACGGCGGTTGTGCGAAAGAGCTGGTACATAAAGTCCGCGTGTCATCCCAGTCAATGACACAGCTGATACGCGGGTCGTCGGAATCCGCATCGACGACAAAGATGTTCTGGGAGTGAAAGTCGTCATGCATGAGCGGGAATCCGTCGACGTCTAGAGAGTCGTCGTAAAAGGAAGGAATGAGGGAGCGCATCCACCATACGTGTGCGTACTCGTAGATGGCGCCGCGCGACCGATCTTTCTCTAAGATGGTCGATAGTCTTTGAGTCGCATAATCAATCCAGTAGGCCGTGCCACTGCTATATGTCTTCCCCTGCGCTGGTGCGGCTCGAATAACCCATTCACCAGACGCTTCTTCGCGAGATAGGGTCCCGATCTTGTCGAAGCGCTGCGAGTACATGTCGACAATCATCTCAACGACTTGACGGAGTATCACGTCACGTCGTTCGTCAGATAAGTCGTCCCAGATTTCGACAAGCGCCACGCCCTCCGCCACGGTAGTCACGACGTAAGGACGCCCAGCCTCTTCGCTAGAAGCGTTGTAGCAGATAATACCAGGGAGAGGGATTGTAGTTTTCTCCTTGAAGTATTGCATCGTCGCAACAGTATTGCGCACGGCGGTCTCTGGGTCTTTGACGTGCATCAAAGGAACGCGCACGACGACGTCCGGATGCCCGTCCACGCGAAGAAAACGAACGAGATTGAAGCCACCGGATTTGGTCTCGCCCCAAGACATAGTCTTTGCGTCCAAGGCCAAGGCAACGGACTGTTGGATGACATCCCAGTTAGTGGCTGAGAGCGTCGCGACGTCTTCCGAGCAGCAAGAGCATTTGTCCGTCATGACGGCGCAGATGAGACACGCGGCCTGTCATTGTCAACGGTTCGATACTGCGTCACCCGCCTTCGACTTGTAGAGGTCGGTCTTCGAGCTGGCATCACATATGCGGAAAAACGTTAAGATCATGGTAAGGTGTGTCTGCAGATCCATCTTGCTCAGTTGCTTGTCAAGGTCCTCACCTTCGCGGGCTTGAATATTAAGTACAAACCGGCGGCATCTCTTGCCCCGGTCCTTTTACCACATGCAACCATACGCTACGTATGAGGTTCAGCCATCTTTACCCACCAATCTCCTTTCTCTGTTCATTCTTTCCAATCGGTCGTCTTCCTGCAATAAACCGGGCGGATAGTAGCCATGAAAGACCCTCAGCAACCGTATAGCGCTCCTCGACACTGCTACATAAATCTTGAACAGATTCAGCGCGCCTCCGGTTGGTCTCGCGACATGAATTATCACTGAATTCGAGTTCCACGTCGCGTCCATTCTGCTCTAAATGGCGCGTAAAGGGCAGGTGACAGTGGTTGAATACCCTTCTCTTTGGTGGATTATGTGTGTCCAGCAGCTCTGTCATCTGTTCTCGTGTTGACTCCCAGACCATAGCATTCCCTGACTCTCTTTATATCTGCACATCCTAAATGGTGGCCATGGGACTGGCAAGGGTAGTACGTGTCATGGTTCTCACGCTGGCCCACTATTACGAATCTGAGCCTTGAATAGCGCTTGGATTTCAGACGGGCGTACGATACGACGTGTACGCATCACACCTGAAATAGCAGTCCGCATACAACGCGGCGAGGACGTCTCGCCTGAAGAAATTACCGCATCCCTTGCGCGTGTCGAACAGGAAGAGCGAATCCTAGGTCGTCGTCCCCAAAGCCAGCGAGACCAGCGAAGCTAATCTTTACACCGCCGTATGGATCTGTCAATGTGTGGACGCCGGAGACCGCGACGGGTTCGAAAACGCAAGGCGAAAAGAGGCGAAAGTAATCCAGGTATGGAGCCGTTCTACTGATTACTCAAACGCACGTTGACCCTCTTCCTAGGTAACTTATGATGCTGTACTTATCTTCGACGTAGCGCTCTCACTGTACGGCTCCCATGCATGCGAAAACTATACTCAACATTCTCATCATCTGCGTTAGGCCATGGCGCTCCGCGTGAAATGTCTCACAGCATTGTCAAGTTTTACTTCCTTGTTCTTCGATTGCCGTCAAGATGCGCTCTGTCCCCGGTATCCTCGCGTATTTTCCCCTCATCTTTGCTCCTGAGACACCGTCAGACGTGCAGCAGGCATTCGACAATGTTAATGTTGATGCTTGTATTCTGGTTTCGGCAACCATTGAAAGGTTTTCCTCAGATTCCCTCAGACATTGCATTGGAGTTCGATATCACTTTACTCCTCCAGGGTGTTCGTCCGCAGTCGAATGGGGCAGCCATCACCCTGGAAGTTGGTGAAAAAGTTTCTCGCAAAGGTTCGTTAGCATTACCATAGATTCGTCATCGTCCAATAATCATTACAGCTACCGCGAATCCTCCTACATTCACGCTTGTTGGAGGAATCATTGGAGCAGGTCCTTTCGTAGTAGAAACTGTCGTTCCCGACGCGCCGACCCCTCAAGACCCGTATATTGCCCAGGTTTGGCACTTCCTTAGTGGGAACTTCATCTTGGGTCCCCCGTGTCGCGAGGCTGAACTCTCTGACATTGTCAACACGACCCCTGCTATATCTGAGTGGCAACAGCCCACGCCTCCAACCGGATCGCATGCTCACCGGTAAATTTACTCCATTTTTGGATGATTGATATTTGACAGCTCTTGGTATGTAGGTATATTTTCCTTTAGATGCATACAAGGAGCAGACACTCTTGAATGGCACGACGCCCATGACCTTGTTCAATATCTCTGCGTTCAGTGGGGCTGTTGGACTAGGAAATCCAATTTCATGCTGTCCTGATCCAGCCTGAGGCCTGAACTCGTTACTCACTTTCGTCTCAACGACCTGAATGGTGATAAAATCGATTCGCTTCTACGTTTACTTTGAATATTGCGGCAGAAGACAATTCTTCGAATAAATGCGCATTGATTGGAAGCGGTAAGTCACTATGTTCCGTAAAGAGGCCAAATGAAGAATGACTGACTACTTGAGTGTGCAGTGGATCATCTCATCTCTATGCGTTCACACGTTGAAGTGTGACGCTTGCTTCCAAACCGATTTATTGCGCCGCACTCTTGACCCAGTGTAGCAGCCATGGACTTGCTAACACTGGATGTTTAACTCTCGAACAAACAGCAGACAAACGAAAAGGGCCACCCATTGTCCAAAAACGGCCAAGAAATGCGCATGACTTTGGTGGACCGTCAAAACAATCACACACAAAGGCGGGAATACCTCTTTAGCGTCTCTATCCGTGACCACATCATTGTCTTCACTCTTGCTCCCTCATTGTCTTCACTCTTGCTCCTCTTTCTCTTCATTGATCATCTTACATTCTCCTTTGACATTACACAAGATGTCCTCGATGCCATTTGCGTTCCCGGACGACACACAGCAGTCTCCAGGCTTGTCCAGCGCTTCCGATGGTCGGAACGACGCCCAGACAGACAAATACCAGACTATCCCTGATAGCGACACCGCCGTGCAGACAAGCCAGCCACGCCCAGCAGTTGAAGCTTCCATTTCATTGACCACGTTGAATAAGAGGAAGCGCGATGAGCAGGATGATGATGCGCAGCGCGACAGAGACCTGATGCCTCTGCCTGCTGCCCCGAGTGCCAACTTTTTGAACGGGAAAGGCAAAGGCAAAGCAGTCGAACCTCCAGCTCCGATCGCGGTCAATAACCAAGTACGTTGATCACTCTCGACGCCTTGAAACCATCTCATTGATTCATCCGTACTAGGTTATTCCCAACGTTGTTTTCCCGCCTGTCGCACGGTACGAAATTGAGGTATGTCGCGCGATTCATTAAATATCACCTTTCGCTGATAATCGTGTAGTTCATCCTCCCCTCTGGGATGATCACGCTCGCCAAGAATCCTGCTTCACGCGGTGCGATCACGGTCTGGATTCTCGACCAGGACCATACTGGTGTTGCATGGCCCGCCAGACTCCACACACGCGAAGAACTAGCGGATGTTGCCTACAGAAAGGCATTTGACCCGTCGTATCAGCGCATCATCCACCTCCCAATGACGGCCGACGGCAGGGTTCACAATTCGGGCCTTGTCTTGATTTCCTTGGGATCGCCAGAGTCTCGG